TTCCTACCTACCTACCTTCCCTCCTTCCTTCCTCTCATCTCTTCCTTCCTACTTACCTTATCTCCTTCCTTCTGTACTTCTTCCTTCCTTCCTTTCTTTCTTCCTTCCTTCAAGTAACTTTTATGGCCTGTGAGACCAATATAAGGTATATTGTATGTATATTCACTCATATGTTACACAGTAACCACACAAACATTGTCATTATATTGTTTACAAAACATGTTTACACAAACCAACAATAAAAAATGTTTATTACTATTTTTCTATCATATTATATACACATATAAAGTCACTGGACACTTCCTAGAACTGCTACAGCTTCTGTAAGCTTGTAATTGTTGTGTGGGGGTGGACTTGTAAATATGCTGAGTCACCAGTGTAATTAATGTCACAGTGACAAATAACACCATCACTCACCACCCTCACTGCCTGTCAACTTCCTCCCCACCCCACCAACCCACATGGAAATAAGTCACTGTCTGAATTTTTTGGGTTATCCTAGGTTGATGGTCTCCCTTCCTTCCTTCCTTCCTTCCTTCCTTCCTTCCATCCTTCCATCCTACTTTCCATCCTTCCTTCCATCCTTCCTTCCATCCTTCCTTCCATCCTTCCTTCCATCCTTCCTTCCATCCTTCCTTCTTTCCCTCCTTCCTTACTTCTTCCTTTCTTCTTACCTTCCTTCCTTCCTTTCTTCCTACCTTCCTTCCTCTTATCTCTTCCTTCTGGTTTCTTGGGCAATGCTTTTAGTCACAAACTCTTCAAAACCATGAAATTCATCTTCACTGACACTTCCATCTGTGTTTGAACTGTCACTTGGGAACAAAAGAGCCCCAGTTAGTCGAGGAATGAGGAGTTTCTTAGCACTAGACATGGTGAACAAGGTGTAATAAAATGTCTTTTCCACAATGCACCACTGGGTCCCCGATTTTTTTTGTACTGCGCACACTGACCACACAGACCCATTCTCTCACATCTAGGCCTACCAGCCTTTTCCTGCTTGATTTGAAGACGCTAGAATTTATAAAAGCGTATTAGTACGTCAATAACCCTGGCTCGTAAGACATACTAGTACTACATCAAAAACCCTGAAAGAGTTAATAATGCACAAGACTTCATTAGGATCAAATGTTTGGAATGTGTAGTAAACTTGTTCTTCTATTATTTACTTTTAGTACTGAAGTAAAAATTAAAAACACAAAAGTGTATCTTTCTGTTTTTACTGCATATTAAGTAAAAGGCACAATACCACGACTGGAACAATACACAAATAACCTGCACATACCAGAAACAAACTTACGATGACATTTTAGTCTGACTTTAACCATTAACTAGTCACTCTAACTTGGAACATTAGCTAGTTAACCCTTTGACTGCCGCAACCCCAAATCCTGAGGTGTCTCCTGATGTCGCAAAATATTTGAAAAAAAAAATTATTTTTTCTTATGAAATGATAGAGAATCTTTTCCCAATGGTAATAACACCAAAAGTACGAAATGTGATGGAAAACTTACAGAATTATGTTCTCGCGAAGTTAGCTGCATCGGCGATTTCGCCCAAACTCATAGCTATTTCTTTAGAGCTCCATTTGTTCTATTGACTGAGCACAAGAAACTGCCCATTTACCAATTTCAACTACCCAATAAGTGGTCAGAAATTGGCAATTTGGCCAATTTCATGCAAATTAACCCATAAACAGTCCAAACGTATATATATGTTCTCTCACGCAGCGCCCCGAATATTTTGAGAATTTTTTTTTTTTATAGGAAAAAAGAGCATATGGTACCCAGGTGTCCCCAATTTTTTTCATATGGCAAACACTAGAGTGCGCACACCCATTCTCTCATGTCTAGATGACTCAGGCATATCATGCCAATGTTGAATGAATGACACGTGAAACGTATATAGTATACATTTGGGGTGCTATGTGATAGAAAGTATATAGTATACGTTTGGACCGTTTAACCCTTTCAGGGTTTTCGACGTACTAGTACGGCTTACGCACCAGGGTTATTGACGTACTAGAGCGCCTAAATTCTAGCGCCTTCAGATCTAGTGAGAGAAAGCTGGTAGGCCTACATATGAGAGAATGGGTCTATGTGGTCAGTGTGCGCAGTATAAAAAAATCCTTCAGCACACAGTGCATGATGAGAAAAAAAAACTTGGACCGTGTTTTTGGATTACAACAGCGACTTTGCACTGTATTTTCGTATGGTATTTATGGTTGTATTCTAGTTTTCCTGATCTCATTTTATAGAATGGAAGACATATTACAGAAATTGAGATGATTTTGATTGGTTTCACAATGAAAAGTACCTTGAAATTGAGCTCAAAGTAGTAGAAATGTTCGATTTTTACCAAAGTTCAAAAGTAAACAAATCATGCCAAGCGTCCAATAAACGTCAACTGGTAAGTCTAATATTCTTTCACAAGTGCGCTGATATTATTTATACCATTTTTACACTAATGCAGTAGTCTGCATAACAGTAAATCTTCTATTTTTTGTAAGAATAGAAATTCAAAGTGGAAAACAAAAGAAATATAAGAGGGGCCTGGGGATGTGACTAACGAACAGAGAACTTGTTATTTTAGTGCCAGGAATGTCTGTCTTGTTTATTATGAACCCTATTTGGAAATTGGCATCTTCTGAAATTTGTGTGAAATTGGCAAAATTGCCAATTTATAACCACTTTATTGGATAGTTGAAATTGGTAAATGGGTGGTTTCTTATACTCATTCGATAGAAAAGATGGAGTTCTAGTGAAATAAATATGATTTTTATTGATTAGTACAGAGAAATTGGTCAAAAATAAGGCTCAAAGTGGGCGAAATCGCCGAAGCGTAAACATCGTTGAGACCGCTAACTTTGCGAGAGCGTAATTCCGTAAGTTTTCCATCAAATTTCATACTTTTGGTGTCATTATGATCGGGAAAAGATTCTCTATCATTTCATAAGAAAAAATAATTTTTTTTTTTCCAAAAAATTTTCGACCCTGAAAGGGTTAAGGGTTAAAAAATATGTCAATTTCAAAATTGAGTCCAGAATGAGCAATGCAGATATTCCTGGCACTAAAATAACATTTTCTCTGTTCCTCAGTCACATCTCCAGGCCCCTGTTATAATCTTCTTGCTTTCTACTTTTAATTTTTCTTCACACAAAAAATAGAAGATTTACTGTTATGCATACTACTGCAATATTGTAATGTATAAAAAACATCAACTCATTTGTGACTACATATTAGAGTGGCTAGTTGGACATTTATTGGACAATGACGTCATTTGTTTACTCTTGAACATTGGCAAAAATCGAACATTTCTGCCACTTTGAGTTCAATTTCAAGATCCTTTTCATAGTAAAACCAATCAAAATCACTTCTATTTCTATAATATGTTTTACATTCTATCAAATGAGACCAAGACAACAAGAATACAACCATAAATACTATATGAAAATACACCTCAAACTCAGCGTTTTAGTGCAAAAACACAGAGTTTTTTTTCTCATGCACTGCGTGGTGCAGGATTTTTTTATGCTGCACACTGACCACACAGACCCACTCTCTCACATGTGGGCCTACCAGCTTTCTCCTGCTTGATTTGAAGCCGCTAAAAATTTTGAGTATATATACGTCAAACACATTGGCTCATAAGACGTGTATATATGACCAAAACAGTCAAAGGGTTAATGGTCCAAGTTGGACTGCAACACCATTATGAGTTTCTTTCTCCTATGTGCGAGTTATTTGTGTATCTTATCTTAATAATATTCCAATAAGAAGTATATTTCAAAGTGTGTTTGAGCACAGAAACTTAAAAAATTACATGGAACAGGCATATTAAGAAGTTTTAGCCAAATAGTTGACAGATTGACAAAATGTAGGGAACAGTGGAGAGAGAGAGAGAGAGAGAGAGAGAGAGAGAGAGAGAGAGGATTTTACTCAAGGCTGAATATACATAGATTATTTTTCTGTTTAGAAAAGAATTAAAAACTATATAGCAAGGAGAAACAAGCACAGAAATTTTGGAATAGCAGTCTAAAAAATCTCCCCTCTTTATTGTGAATTCTGTCTTCTCATTCTTCATTTAAGTTTTCCCTCTTGTTTTTTGTCTTTATTTTTTAACTTTATCACACATTCTTGGTGAGGCCATCATCCTCATTCTTCCCATGCAGAATGTTTTTTACAGTACTATCCAGGCCCGGTGGCCTGGTGGCTAAGGCTCCCACTTCACACATGGAAGGCCCGGCTTTGATTCCCGCGGGTGGATACATTTCGACACGTTTCCTTACACCTGTTGTCCTGTTCACCTAAGAGCAAATAGGTACCTTGGTGTTAGTCAACTGATGTGGGTTGCATCCTGGGGGACAAGATTGAGGACCCCAATGGAAATAAGTTAGACAGTCCTTGATGACGCAGTGACTTTCTTGGGTTATCCTGGGTGGCTAACCCTCCGGGGTTAAAAATTCAAATGAAATCTTATCTTATCTTATCTCAGTTATGTGACTACTAAACCAGCAATAATTCTAGTCTTGACACATGAAGGCGTTTAAGATCTCTGCACAGGATTCCCTTATTTTCCCCTCCCTCACAGAACGAAAGGAAGGGAACAAAACATCAATGATGATAATGAGGAAAAGAAGGAATTTGTTTTGTTGGATTTATAAGTCAAACACACAAGTGATCTCTGGCCCAGTAAGGAGGATTTGTGTTTAGCCTGAATTTTTCTTTCAATTTTGTGAATATTTTTGGCCCTAGCATGTAGAAAACCAGTAACTTTGAGCTTTGATCTGTGTTCAATGTCTGACCATTTATGCCAGTAATGCAAATGCTAATGCTTCTGCTTTCTTAATGCTTTGTGTAATAGATGGGATGAGGTAAGTGTGTTTACAAACTAAGGCTTGGGGAATGTATGCATTATTATAGTATGGGAATGTCTTGCTGTAGTAGGTTGTTGTTTAGTTTTAGTATTTCATATGTTCTCATGACTTTTGCTTTCCTTTTCAGATGGGCGTGTGGTGTTATTATGTACACACTGTAAGTTGTCATCTAGTTGTTCCCAAGTTCATATTGATGATAATGATCATTGTTATAACAGCAGTGTCAGTAAAGAAAGTCAAGATATAAGAAGAATATAATGATCTACAAGAATTCTGGCATCAAATGAGGGCAGATAAATGAATGAAACTTAAAGGAAAATTAATGCAAAAGTATCCTTCCTCTATCCTCTTTCTAACATTTACTTTCTTTCTCACTCTCTCTCTTTCCACTTACTTTTTCCCTCTCTACTTCATCCCTTTCCCTCTTTACTTACCTTACATTCTGTACTAGTAAGAACTCAGAGGGTTTTGTCTGTGGTCTTCCACTTGTAATAAATACAAAATTTCACTGAAGAACTTAATTTAGACCAGAATGGTAAGATTTGCTGTTTTAGGATATCAGGATCATCTTATAGCCTTAATTCTTGCTTTGGGATCTGTACTCTGCATTTTAATTTTATTCAAACTCAAGGTACTACACAATTATAATCGGTATTTTACTTAATACTTTAGTAATATTTTAATTATTAAACTTGGTGGTATTAATCCTGCTGATTTGAGCTAGGAGCTTTCTGTGAAGAGCCTACTTTTGATGCTTCCATATGCCTAGAGTTCAGAAAGTCTGTATTATATGTATACATAAAAAAGAAATGTGGACAGTAAAACCTCCATTTTAATGGATTCCAATTTGACAGAATTTGCATACCAAAAAAATGCAGGGTTGGATAATGACTTAAGAACAACATAGTCCATTGGTTCTGGAAAATGTCCATTATAGTTTGCTTATCTGGTGGTGTTCAGAACCAGTAGACAAAGTGTTGTACTCAGACTCTGGTACTGCCTGAAGTAGTCGTGTCTAGGACTAGTCTCTTTGTTGTTCCTGGTGTGAGCAACAGATGGCTCCTCAGTTTAGTTATTGCCTACATTCATTTATGTGTGTCACAGCAATTTACTCTCCAATTTTTCCTGGATTTACAGTGTTTATTAACATATAGGTAAATTGTCATTACCAATTGCTTCTGCAGCAAGCAGTGGTGCCAGGAGGAAATATGTGAATCTAAGTGTTAGTCAGAAACTTGAAACTGATGAAGATAAGGACGTGTGTGTGTACTCACCTAGTTGTACTCACCTAGTTGAGGTTGCGGGGGTCGAGTCCGAGCTCCTGGCCCGCCTCTTCACTGATCGCTACTAGGTCACTCTCCCTGAGCCGTGAGCTTTATCATACCTCTGCTTAAAGCTATGTATGGATCCTGCCTCCACTACATCGCTTCCCAAACTATTCCACTTACTGACTACTCTGTGGCTGAAGAAATACTTCCTAACATCCCTGTGATTCATCTGTGTCTTCAGCTTCCAACTGTGTGTTGTGTGTGTGTGTGTGTGTGTGTGTGTGTGTGTGTGTGTGTGTGTGTGTGTGTGTGTGTGTGTGTGTGTGTGTGTGTGTGTGTGTGTGCATGTGTGTGTGTGTGTGTGTTGTGTGTGTGTGTGTGTGTGTGTGTGTGTGTGGTGTGTACTCGCCTAGTTGTGGTTGCAGGGGTCTAGTCATAGCTTTTGGCCCCACCTCTTCACTGGCCACTACTGAGTCACTCTCCGTGCACCATGAGCTTTATCTACCTCTTCTTAAAGCTATGAATGGATCCTGCCTCCACTACATCACTTTCCAAACTATTTCACTTCCTGACTACTCTGTGACTAAAGAAATACTTCCTTACATCTTTGTGATTCATCTGAGTCTTCAGCTTCCAACTGTGTCCCATCTCTGGAACATTCTGTCTCTGTCCACCTTATCAATTCCTCTCAGTATTTTATGTCATTATCATGTCCTCCCTGTCTGTCCTGTCCTCCATTGTTGTCAGGTTGATTTCCTTTAACCTCTCCTCGTAGGACATGCCCCTTAGCTCTGGGACTAGTCTTGTTGCAAACCTTTACATTTTCTCTAGTTTCTTCATTTGCTTGGCTAGGTGTGGGCTCCAAACTGGTGCTGCATACTCCAATATGGACCTAACATACACAGTGTACAGGGTCCTGAACGATTCCTTATTAAGATGTTGGAATGCTGTTCTTAGGCTTGCTAGGCGCCCATATGCTGCAGCAGTTATTTGGTTGATGTGCGCCTCAGGAGATGTGCCTGGTGTTATACTCACCCTAAGATCTTTTTCCTTGAGTGAGGTTTGTAGTCTCTGCCCTCCTAGACTATACTCTGTCTGCAGTCTTCTGTGCCCTTCCCCAATCTTCATGACTTTGCACTTGGTGGGGTTGAACTCCATGAGCCAATTGCTGGACCAGGCCTGCAGCCTGTCCAGATCCCTTTGTATGCGTATGTGTGTACTCACCTATTTGTGGTTTCAGCGGTCGAGTCATAGCTCCTGATCGCTACTAGGTCCTCTCCCTGCTCCATGAACTTTATCATACTTCGTCTTAAAACTGTGTATGGTTCCTGCCTCCACTACGTCACTTTCTAGGCTATTCCACTTCCTGACAACTCTATCTAACATCCCTTTGACTCATCAGAGTCTTCAGCTTCCATTTGTGACCCCTTGTTTCTGTATCCCATCTCTGGAACATCCTGTCTGTTCGCCATGTTAGTGGCACACACAGCATCTCTGCTCCCTCTCTAAGGACCCACGGAGAAATGTTCAGTCCCACCTCCGTTGAGGTAACAGTTTCACATAGCAGCTTCTTCACCTCCTCCTTGGTTGTGTGTTTTATCCAGCACTTGTTGGTGTATCCCTTGATGGTGTACCTCCCTATTCTGGCTTCGTGGAGTCTTTCCTGTCTCCACTGTAAATACTTCTTTAAATCTCATGTTGAGCTCCTCACATACTTCTTGGTCATTTCTTGTAAACTCCCCACCTTCCTTCCTCAGCCTGATTACCTGGTCCTTGACTTGCTTTCCTCCTGATGTAGCTATACAACAGCTTTGGGTCAGACTTGACTTCCAGTGCAGCATCATGTTCGTATTGTTGCTTATCCTCCATTGTTATCTCTGCATATTCGTTTATGGCTCTTTGGCTAATTTCTTTATTTTCCTGGGTCCTTTGCCTTCTGTACTTTTTCCATTCTCTAGCATACATAGTTTTTGCCTCTTTACTCTTTTGGGTGAAACAAGGACTCATTCATTTTGATCTTCCCATTACTTCTGTTGTCCTTTCTCCTCTGCCTCATTGCATTTTGTTGTCACGTAGTTTATCATTTCTTTTACTGGTTTTCCTGCTAATTCTCTTTCCCACTGAATGTCTTGCATGGAAGTTCCTCATGCCTGTGTAGTCCCCCCTTTTGTAGTTTGACTTCTCCTGTCCAATTCCTGCTACCCTCTCCACTTGTAGCTCAACTATGTATTCAAAGCAAAGAACCATATGATCACTACCTCTAAGAGGCCTTTTGTATGTGATCTCCTCTATGTCCGAAGTATTCAAGGTGAATACTAGGTCCAGCCTTGCTGGTTCTTCCTTGACTCTCTCTCTGGTAGTGTCTCTAACATGTTGATGCATGAGGTTTTCCTGTACCACATCCATCATGTTGGCTTTCCATGTTTTGGGACCCCATAGGGCTCAGGTTTCCCAGTCAATCTCCTTGTGATCGAAATTTCCCATAACTAGTAACTTTGCTCTACCCGTGAGAGCTCTTCTGGCCACCTTAGCTAGTGTGTCGACCATTGCTCTGTTGCTCTCTGCGTATTCTTCTCATGACCTCCTGCAGTTCTGTGGCGGGTTGTACATTACTGCAATTACCACCTTATGGCCCCCAGATGTGTTTGTTGGTGATGCTAAACATTGTTAATGTGTGTGTTGGCGATGCTGAACATTGTTAATGTGTGTGTTGGCGATGCTGAACATTGTTAATGTTTGTGTTGGCGATGCTGAACATTGTTAATGTGTGTGTTGGCAATGCTGAACATTGTTAATGTTTGTGTTGGCGATGCTGAACATTGTTGATGTTTGTGTTGGCAATGCTGAACATTGTTAATGTTTGTGTTGGTGATGCTGAACATTGTTGATGTTTGTGTTGGCAATGCTAAACATTGTTAATGTTTGTGTTGGTGATGCTGAACATTGTTAATGTGTGTGTTGGTGATGCTGAACATTGTTGGTGTTTGTGTTGGTGATGCTGAACATTGTTGGTGTTTGTGTTGGTGATGCTGAACATTGTTAATGTGTGTGTTGGTGATGCTGAACATTGTTGGTGTTTGTGTTGGTGATGCTGAACATTGTTAATGTTTGGGTTGGGGATGCTGAACATTGTTGATGTTTGTGTTGGTGATGCTGAACATACCTGGAGTTTACCTGGAGATAGTTCTAGGGGTCTACGCCCCCGCGGCCCGGTTTGTGACCAGGCCTCATGGTGGATCAGGGCCTGATAAACCAGGCTGTTACTGCTGGCTGCACGCAATCCAACGTATGAACCACGGCCCGGCTGGTCAGATACTGACTTTAGGTGCTTGTCCAGTGCCTGCTTGAAGACAGCCAGGGGTCTATCAAGTTTATTCTCTATATGGATTACAATGTGGGGTTTACAGATTTTGGATATTCTGTGGTTTACATGTTATAAAATACTAATTACAGAGGGGGCCACTAGGACACCTAGCATGGCTAGGCATTTTGGGCAGACTTAGATTAATTCTTAACTCTAAATTATTACAAATTATGGAGTAAGGTGGTATTATGGCTAAGTGACTAAATCATAGTTTGTGAGTTTAGCAATGTGAATGCTTTTGTTTTGGCACAATACATAGTTTCTATATTGGAGTATCACAGGCAAACTTACGTCTAGTTAGGATTCATTATTTTAAGATTCGTAATTCTGTGTTTATAGTCAAATGGGTGAGTGAGTGAAAGTGTAAACCACCAGGTGGTTTTCATGTAGTTAGTTGACAGGCTGTATCAGGGAGATAAGATGTTTTCTAATGGTAGTTTTGAAGGTGATGAATGTGTCTGCAGTTCTAGAGTTCTCAGGTAGGGTGTTCCAGATTTTAGGGCTTTTGACATACATTGAATTTTT